TTTTTTAAGGTAGAAGCTTCAGTTACTGATTTTAGATCTTTCTTTTTTTCTTATACATGCTTTTATTGCTATACATTTCCCAAGTACTGCATCCCACAAATTTTAATAAGCTGTTTTCATTTTCATTTAATTTCAGTACATTTTAATTTCCCCTCAAACTTCTTTTTTGACCCACATATCATGCAGAATTGTATTTACTAGCTATCTTTCTGTGACTGATGTCTAGTTTATCTAATTGCATTACGATCTGAAGTCATACTTTATATGATTTCCAGCTTTCGTAATTTGTTAGGGTTTTGGGGGAGCCTAAAATGTGAATGTTACATGTGAATATGGAAGGAAGTATGTTCTACTGTTGGGATGTATTCTACCCATGTCAATTGGATCAGTCTGATTTATAATGTTTTTAAGCTCCAATAGACCTTAGTGATTGCTTTTGCCTTGCTTGATCTATCAGGCTTTAAGTTCTTCCCTCGGCCCCTTCTGGGCAATCTGAAGAAAGCCTGGATGCTCCCCCATGTGTCGCTTGTGGGAGATTAAACCACACAAGCTCCTGACCATGTGTAGGACCCCCCCACCCTCACACATGCCCTACACACAATGAAAACTCTGAGTTGGCCTCCTTTCCTTGCTCTTTCAAGCAATTTTTGAACCTGCATGGGAGCCTATCCCCAAATAGCCCCATGTGTAAATAATAAATGTTTTCACTGACTGATCTGAAGCCACCAGGGATGGTATGTGACATGTCTCCACTTCTGGCTGACAACCTTGTGCTCGAGTTTTGCTGCACTGAACTACATTTGTTGAGTTCCATAGAAATGTTCTTACATATTTATCTGACTTCGGTTGGAATTTTCAATATTTGGTTTTGGAGGGACAGTCATACAAATTTGGGGCCTTCCTTCATGGCCTTGGGTTATGCATCTCAGCCTGGAAATATCAGCCTGTGTTTAGAATAAAACCGGTTGACGATAGGTGTGGGGGAAAAGAGTTTCCACCTGTTACCAAATTTGTTGTGTGTCTCAACCAAGTTTTGGTCTCTGTTCTGTAAAGGGCTCAAAGGCTTGTACTCTGTGTAGCATATAGGAACATCAGTTGGTCACCCATGAAACAGCAGTCACTAATGAATTTTTAAAAATAGAAAGAAGAAAAATGGAGTCATTATCTCGAATGCTGAGGTCTGCACATCTAAGAGCACAAGGCTCCCCATGACCCATAAATATACCTCTGCTGCTGCTCTCTGTGCTGCTGTTACAACAAAGATCTTGATCCTTGGGATTACAGAGAAAAGCACTCGTCACCCCTGTGGCACAGTGAAGAGGTTAATTCAAAGCCGATAAAGCCCAGCTTCAATCCTATAAGCAGCCGTTGCCTTGGGAGAGGCCACAACCCATGGAGACGCTAATTTGAGGCTCTCTGGAGGAAGAAGCTCATGTAATATGAGCAAGGTAGAGAGGAATTTGTCTGAAGTATATCCAATAACAACAATTAAAAAAGAAAAAAAAGGAAGGATACAAGAAAAAATAGAAACCTGGATACAGAGAAGGAAACAACAGAAATACGTGAAACAGAGGTCCACGATTTGACCCAATCCAAAATTTACTAAAGTAATTAAATAACAAAACATAAAGGGCCACTGATTGACTTTTGTGTCTCAACAGCTTTGCTTTTATTTTTTATTTTTTTTAATATGGAAGGCTTCATGAATTTGCGTGTCATCGTGTGCAGGGGTAATGCTAATCTCCTCTGTATCATCCCAATTTTAATGATACAGTGCTCGCTGAAGCAAGCTTTCAACAACTGTGGATCTGACTTAGCTTTAATATCTGCAAAATGTATCCACTGGCAAATCTTCATGGTTTTAATCTTTATAGTCTGGGCTCAAATTACAGACATACCTGGACATTCCACATATTACGCAAGGTTTTCCCTGTACTCTTAAAAGACTTATAAAATATAAAAGTACAAATAGATGTGCCCCAGCTTTACCATCAAGACTACTGTCTTGCCTAAATTCTGCATGACCACAGAATCCATTACACTGAAATACCTCAGAAGGGGCATTACTGTTACCCAGGGAGTAGTAAGTTAAAATTAAATTAGTCTTTGGAATTTTCAAGTTGTCTGGATAAAATACGACCCCGTAGATGTTCCCCCAGTCAACATGTTATGGCCCAATGTAAATTAAAACAGAGATTTCAAGGATTAAAACCCACCATTCAAGACCTATTTCTTTTTTTTAAGCTAATTATCCTGATTGCTTCTTCACTCAGTCCAGTTTAGCGTGTTCTGAAACACAGAAAGAACAACGTGGCTCCTCATATAGATTACTGCAACCTTAATGCCGTGGATCCCATTGAAACCTCCGTGCAAAATATTGAAATTACCAGCTCTATCGAATCAGCAACTGGTAATCTCTCTAAAAATGTCGTATTGGATTTGGCTAATATGTTCTGTTCAGTGTTCTTTCAACAGTCTGTCAGCTGAAGTTTTCTTTCAACTCTGAAGAGATACCATACGTCTCACCTGTCTGCTCATGGGGCTTTGAACAAGCCCTTGAACACAGTCTTCGCCACACAAGTCTTTGCAACAAGGCCTTTGAACACAGTCTTTGCAAGCAAGGACTTAACTTCCCTCAACTTAGTCCAGGAGCACAAGCATGACATCGCACTCATTTTGCATCCTCTTTCAGGGACATTCATTTGGCACACTCATTCGGGACATACAACCACTCGCAGAGGAACTCACAACACACAGGGATACACTGTAGGCCTTATGAATTTTGTTCAGCCTCCAAACATTACTGGTAAATAAAGGATTGCTCATACTTGCCATGACTGAGGAACAGCTGTTGATCTTTTAGCACGCACAACGTAAAAAATGTCCAACAACTTTTCAGCCATTTTGGCTTCTGAAGACAACATGTCCCTCACTTCCAAATTTTACTTAAGTCCCTGTATGCTTTGCTTGCAAATAAGCCCCTCCTTGATCAGGGACTCTATAACAAAAACCTCTGGAATCTGTCACAATCGCATTAGAACAGTCATGCCCGCTAGTGCCTCTTCCCTAGCAAGAGGCTCCTTCAACTGAGGAGGCTTTAGCAACCTCCTCTCTGGAGCACCCATGGTAGCCATAAGGTGACCATAGGTTGACCATGCTTCTGATGCAAGAAAATCCCAGTGCCAGTAGTGTGGAATCACTGGCAACAAGCTGCTTTTCTCAAAACAGAGCCTCTCACGGGCCCAGAGGCTGTAACCCTCTGTACCCAGCTGCCTGTTATGATTTGGTCATCAAAGTGGCACCCTTATGGCTCAGAATGGCCACCAAGGCCTCTTATGAAGCATGGAGACAAACTTGGGTCCTCTTGGGCCCTTTGATATTAACCTGTATTCGAGATAACTGCTTCTTTCCTTGCTCTTGTCCGGTTGAGTGGCGGGACCATCAAAGGCATTCTTTATTTCAGTTGTGGTTTTGACTTCAAGCATTCCCTTTTGATTATTTTTCGAATTGTCTTGTATTTGTGGTTTTCACCCATCTTTAAATGGTGTCTCTTTTCCCCCTTAGAGCCTTTAAGACATTTTCCTAGTAGTTTAAATCTGCTGCTTGATGATTCCATCACCTATGACACATCCAAGTCTGTTTCTAAACTTGTCTCTTTATACACTGATTTTTCTTGCCATATGGCATATTGTGTTGGGTAATCAGAATTGAGTTAAATAGATCCTCAATGAGAGGATATAAAGTAATACATCTAGAATTTGGGCCATGTTTAATGTTTGCTGTAGATATACATGCCAAAGATTTCAAATTCTTCTACTTTCCTCCTTTGTATTTCCCTACTTGATTTTGAGGTCCTTATGTATCTGTTCTTCAAGACAGTCCCCTCTTAAACTTCTTCAGAAGGATTGCTATTGGTATGGCGGTAAGGTGTCAAGGAGGAGAAGTATTCTATAACTTCATGATCGAATCTCAGGCTTATAGTGTCTCTGTGTCTCAGAGACAGGCCTGTGTCTCTGGACTGTGACCGTCACAAGTGTTTCTACAATGATAAAGGGTTTGTTGTGCTTGTTTTGTTTTGTTTTGTTTTTTAACTTTTTTAGTAGTATAGAATGGCTAGAAGAAGCTGAAGTGGCAGGCAGGCCTTTCCCTGAGTTGAGATAAGGTTCTGGTAAAGTCTCTACCCACTCCCAGAATATTTCTTTGTTGCAAAGAATACTCTGGGGCTATTTCTACAATGATTACTCTTCCTTTGCCTTGCCAGATCCACAAGGAGACCTTTCTTGACTCTTCACCAGGAGAACTTGGTGTGGCTCCTGGAGCATGTGGGGGTCCCCCTAAGACCACAATCACCAGTAGTTTCCCATTCTCAGGCTTGTCTGCACTCCACCTCCAGAGATTAGTCAAATTTACCCATTAAGTGATCCTCTCAGTTTGTGGTTTTGGTGGCTCTGCTGTCCATGAGTAGACCTCAGATACGAGTCTCTAGATTTTCCAGGTCAGATTTTGGTCAAATTTGACACAGTCTCAGTTCTCTGATGAGTCAATGCAAAATTAGTGATTTGAGGTTGTCTAGATTTTCCTTATTGTATGTGTGGGGGCAGTGACTTCCACACTCTTTGTGTGTCAGAACTGAAACTGGAAATTTGAAATAATTGTTTACTTTCTCCTCATCACTTCTTGCTTTATTCCTGATACCTTTCAACCATCTCCTCATAGACTGTTCCTTCTAGAGGTCTTCTTTTCTCTTTAAGTCTCTGGTTCAGGGTGTTAGTCAACTATTTCCACAGACGTTTTCCTTCAGCATAGTGATGTGATTTAAATCAGGATAGATTAGAATAGATTAGAATCTATCTAGGATAGATTAGAATCTATCTCTCACAAGGGAGAGATGAAGAAAGGAAAATTTCTGTCATTGTACCAGATTTTTCAGAAAAGCATATGGAATAAACAATTTTTAAAATTCATATATCTTAGTAATTTGGACTACTGTTTGATTCTTTTCTTGTTTTGGACTACCATTTGATTTTTGAGGCAGATTTCCCAGTTTCAAATTAGCTCTACTATTTTTTTTTTTTTTACTTATTATAGAATGTATTTACATTATATTTCCCTAAGATGTTAATTGAGTGAATAATAGTACCGATTTCATACTCATGTTATAAGGAGGTAATATAGATCAAATGTTTGATGCCTTACTTAGCACATAGTAATCCCTCAAGACATACTATGTATTCCTTACAGTTCTTTTCTCTTTCTCTCTCTTTCTTTCTCTCTGATACATTAAGGCAATAGGACCAACATTAACCAGCCATATATCCTTCTACATTTTCTTTCTTGCTGACACAACATATGCAAGTATTTAAAGTCATACTTACGGGAGTTTAACTATTCTGTTGCCAATATTGACATTGCATTGATTCGTCAAAGTGGCACGTCTGTCTCTTCCCTCTGCCTTAGCAAAGGAATGTCCATTATTTGCAGGCCCAGGGAAGAAGTACGTGTGCCCAATACTAGAGGAAAATGGTCAGGTGTGCAAGTAAAATCTTAATTTCCCACATTTTATACAATGCTTTATAGAGTATAGAACACTGATACCCACATTACCTTATTCAATTATGACATGGCTATGAATAATAAAAAATTAGTATACCTATTTTATAGATGTGATTGAGGACTTCAAGTGGTCAATCTACTCTTCAAAACTACAGAAAGTCCCAATATCTAAGGAATGTTTTACTAGATCTAATGGGAGGAAATCAAAGAGAAAGTTATTAAGTGTAAGCCTTTATTCAGAATTCTACAGCACAAAAACACTTTGAAAAAGAAAGGCTATAGATAAGAGTTTTAGCAAGAATGGTCAATTGAAATCAATATACTATGGGGAAGAGTTTATCAGAAATAGTCCTTGGGGGGCATCTGAGTGGCTCAGTGGGTTAAGCCTCCAACTTCAGCTAAGGTCATGATCTGATTAGTTCATGGGTTTGAGCCCACCTTGGGCTCTGTGCTGACAGCTGGGAATCTGGAGCCTGCTTTATTTTCTGTATGTGTGTGTCTGTCTCTCTGCCCCTCCCTCACTTGTGTGTGCTCTCTCTCTCTCTCTCTCTCAAAAATAAACATTTTTGAAAAAAAGAAATAGTTCTTGGAAGAGGGAGAGATTGTCTTTTAGTTTATTAACCGTGTCTTGGGCAGCTTGTTTGGGCAAGAAGGATACCGAAGAATCATTAGGAACTAAATTTGTATGAAGGTTACAGTAGAAACTTTTCACTGCTTAAGTGTTTCTCAGAGCCCCTCAACTTGGTCAACAGGGAGGTTGGGTCTTATTGTTTGCTCATATCTGTATTTTCAGAACTCCAGATCTATAAAACTCATGTAGACTATAGTCTCAGACAATTAGTGATGGTGACATCAAGGCTGTTGCAACTTTTGTCTTTTTTGGTGAATGTCAGTAATTTCTTGAATAATGGCTGAATTGAAACCACGTAAGATTCTAAATAAGCCAGCAGTATATGTCAGTTGCAAGTATTAAAGTGGGAATTATCAGAAGAACTGTGATGCTACCTTTAGCCAAGATCCTGTCCATCTGAGATTAGAAGAGATTCCATCCCAAACTCAAGTCCAAAGAAGTGTATATATTTCTCATTACCTTCTTTTACCTCCTTGGGTGTATTAAAAATAAGATGATAGGGGAAGGGCTCCTGGGTGGCTCAGTCGGTTAAGCATCTGACTTTGGCTCAGGTCATGATCTTATGGGCGCAGGAGTTGGAGCTCTGTCAGCACAAAGTCTGCTTCAG